ACATACTCGCGTATGTAGAACTATTAGAATAAATATGATTCCTTCTGAAGATAATGTAAAAGAAGTTCTCTTTTTCGTATATACCTATATGTACATGTATACTCAAGAGAACAATATAATGGACAATTATATAATTTATTATTAGACGGAATAGCCAAGGTGTCATTGCGAAGATAAAAAAAATAGACGTCTATCATCGCTACGATTTGTACGCATAGGCGGCAGAGCCACGAGGCCTGGGTAGGCTCGAGTTACCCTAAATTAAACATATAAAAAAGCTTGAGTAGGCTCGAATCGTCTTAGATTGAGGAGATAAAAGAGACTTAGATAGGCTCTGTTTAATATTAAAATTCTCTAAAGGGTGGTTCAAAAGTTTCGACCACTCTCTATAAATCGACAGTATCTACAAAAAACTTATATGAAGTTATTGATCAAATTACGTCACCTTTTAGAGAAAGATAAGAGTTATCATGTGAAAAAATATTTGGAAATAGATCTGGCATCTCACCAACACTTTGTAAAAAAAAGAGAAAAAAAGATGCCCAGCATTCTTGAAAAAAAAAGAGACTTTTTAATAAAAAAAGAGGAGAAAAAGGGGCGTACAGTTTCCTTTCGAAGAAAACTAAAACACACCGGCACTATAGTACTATAGAGCCGACAAAACTCGTACGTTATCAGTATAGGTTGAATATGACTTGAAAGAGAAAAACAAAAATGAAACTTCCAAATTGTTCAAAGATTTTGAGAATACATCCCATTCCGCGATGTTGAACATTCCGGAATCAGTTCCCGTCCCGCAATCAATTCCACCGATTCCGGAACTAAATTCAACCAGGCCACAATCCGATTCCGGAATCATTTACAACAGATCCTATCGATTCCGGAATCGCTCAGCATTGGCATCACTCTCATCTCCTGAGGCTTATAACTGCATCTAATTCCGGGTATCGCACGGATCCGGAATCGCAACCATTTCGAAGAAATTCCGCGGAATTCCTAATGATTCCGGAATCGCTCAGCTTTGACATCACAGTCATTGGCTGAGGCTTACAACTGGATGTAATTACGGGACAGAATTCCGGGTATCGTACGGATCCGGAATCGCAACGATTTGGAAGCAATTACGCGGAATTCCTAGTGATTCAGGAATCGCTCAGCTTTGACATCACAGTCATCGGCTGAGGCTTACAACTGGATGTAATTACGGGACAACATTCCGGGTATCGTACGGATCCGGAATCGCAACGACTTGGAAGCAATTACGCGGAATTCCTAGTGATTCCGGAATCGCTCAGGCTTACGACTGGATGTAATTCCGGGTATTGGACGGATCCCGAATTGGAAGAAAATCCGCGGAATTCCTCGTGATTCCGGAACCACTCAGCCTTGGTGTCACACTCATCCGGTGAGCCTTATAACTGGATGCAATTCCGGTACGGAATTCCTAGTGATTCCGGGATCGCTCAGCCTTGGTATCACACTCATCTGCTGACCCTTATAACTGGATGTAATTCCGAGTATTGGACGGATCCGGAATCCCAAGGATTCGCAAGGAATTCCGCGAAATTCTTAGTGATTCCGGAATCGCTCAGCCTTAGTATCACAGTGATCGGCTCAGGCTTACAACTGGATGTAATTCCGGGTATCGTACGGATCCGGAATCGCAACGATTTGGAAGCATTTACGCGGAATTCCTAGTGATTCCGGAACCGCTCAGCCTTGGTATCACACTCATCTGCTAAGCCTTATAACTGGATGTAATTCCGCGACGGAATTCCGGATATCGGACGGATCCGGAATCGCAAAGATTCCGAAGGAATTCCGCGGAATTCCTAGTGATTTCGGAACCGCTCAGCCTTCCTATCACACTCATCTGCTGAGCCTTATAACTAGATGGACTTCCGGCACGGAATTCCGGATATTGGACGGATTCAGAATCGCAAGGATTCCGAAGGAATTCTTCGGAATTCCTAGTGATTCCGGAACCGCTCAGCCTTCGTATCACACTCATCGGCTGAGCGTTATAACTGTAGAGTGTGGCTGTGGTTGCGGGGTGTGGATGAGCGTGTGAGTGTGGGTACGGATATCTTCTCATCACACACACACACATCTACACACCCACACACCCGCACCCCCACCCCCACCCACACCCACACACCACACACACACACACACCCACACCTACACACCCGCACCCCCACCCACACCCACACCCACACACCACACACACACACACACCCACACCAACACACCCACACACCCGCACCCCCACCCACATCCACACACCACACTCACTCCACACCCACACCCATACCTACCCACACCCACACGCACCAACACCCACACCCATCCACACCCACACTCACGCCAACACCCACACCCACACCCTCAATACATCGATAAAGATTGATAGAATAAAAACAGAAGTTGTAATTCCGGAAATGGATGGATTTGGGCGGAATTTCTAGTAATTCCCACCGATTCCGGATCCGCTCAAATCCGGAATTCCTAAGCGGAATCGGATGATCATTACATCGATAAAGATTGATGGAATAAAA